TGACAGTAAAGCCTCCTTGTCGTGTGGTTACCACTCCCTGCTTGCTTCCGTTGGTTTCGTGCTATACGAGGTGATGACAAGCATAGCTTTTCTATACGAAATACAGTACGAGATCCATAGTCAGCCCTATTCACAGCTTCAAGAATAAGCTCGCACATAAAACCTGAATTACTCCAGGTATTCTAGGAGTGGTGCTGAAATGAGGAGAAAAATTGTGCATAGTGGTACAACATTCGTTCACTAATCTGGAAGGCGAAAAGTTTCCCATTCCGATGCAGTCGTGTTGTTTTTAAAACCTAAACAGACTTTTATTTGATCGAGAATAAAGACAATATATTGACTGGCGTTGCGGTTAGATATATATATTCGTCTGTCGTTTCGAGCGCTTTGGGCGAGAAGGAATGTTAGCTATCGATCTGGCGTTTTGAATCTTCTCACAGGAAAGGTCAACAGGTCGCCATGGCCATTCAAGATGGGATGCATATTGCCGTGTGCGTCTCGGGGCACTGAACTCAAATCTGGTTTCAGAATTTGCTGAACGATTCTCTAGGAGGAGTTAGGGGGGGGAGGTCGTTCTAGCATAGCACTCGCCGATCCTCCTTTGCGCAGCTCAAGTTAAGTTTGAAGGCATGCTGTGCAAGTTGTCGATGGTGCAGTGGATAGGTAAGTTGCGTCATATATGGGAGGTCATGGGTTCGGTTCCTTGACAAGTTCGCATTTTTGCATTTTTTCGGAACATCTTCTGTGAGTTCAGAGAATACTTCTATCCGTTATTTTGTCAAGCTTGCTCTTACTTGCAGCAGGAAAAGACTTAAAGCCGGCAATTGTGCTTCGCTTTTAAGACTTTTAGGCAGTGTTTACCCTTTACTGCAATCACCCGAGATCAAGCCAGTTTTAGACCGACTTTCTTCTTCGTGCGCATAATTGCCTGAAAGTGGCCTACTAGGGTAGTCTGCCCTTCCAAACATGATTATCACATCCGCTCGGCACGACCTCCTAGCACTTGTGCCACAGGCGCCAACGCAAAAATACCTTAATCACAAGTCGCTTTTGAAAAACTTGTCAACTGGGTAGTTTGACCTCCTATACTCGAATGCTCGAATGCTATGATACTGTGCAATGCTATAATACTCGAAATCACCAAAATCACTGAATTTTTCAAGTGGAGCAGTTTGACCTCCTAAACATCACATCTGTGTGGGGCGCTGAGAATGTTTGGGATAGAGCGCTCAGGCGGTTTCCAAGTGTACGGATATGATACCCATGTTTAGCGGGTCAAACTACCCCAGTTGACAAGTTTTCAACGAACTTGTTGATTTAGGGTATTTTTGCGCTGGCGCCTGTGGCACGAGTGCTAGGAGGTTTCGTGCCGAGCGGATGTGATAATCATGTTTGGAAGGGCAGACTACCCTAGTAGGCCACTTTCAGGCAATTATGCGCACGAAGAAGAAAGTCGGTCTAAAACTGGCTTGATCTCGGGTGATTGCAGTAAAGGGTGAAACACTGCCTAAAAAGTCTAAAAGCGAAGCACAGTTGCGGCTTTCAAAGGTTCTTTTTCCTGCTGCAAATAAGAGCAAGCTTGACAAAATAACGAAAGAAGTATCAATTGAACTCACAGAAGATGTTCCGAAAAAATGCAAAAATGCGAACTTGTCAAGGAACCGAACCCATGACCTCCCATATATGACGCAACTTACCTATCCACTGCACCATCGACAACTTGACACAGCATGCCTTCAAACTTAACTTGAGCTGCGCAAAGGAGGATCGGCGAGTGCTATGCTAGAACGACCCCCCCCCTAACTCCTCCTAGAGAATCGTTCAGCAAATTCTGAAACCAGATTTGAGTTCAGTGCCCCGAGACGCACACGGCAATATGCATCCCATCTTGAATGGCCATGGCGACCTATTGACCTTTCCTGGTTAGTCAGCGGAATGCTAGCGTTTCGAGCGAAAAGTCTAGTGTAGGTGTCGATCGGCGCTAAAAACGACAGATCGATAACTATACTATTCTTCTCAAACGTACAAAAAAATGCTCGATGCGATAGCAACCACAACCACATATGTAGTATATCACAGGCAATGTTCGACGCTGTGCGTGAGATGTGGTTGGTTGTGCACCCAGATTATTTACGGCTCCTTCAAGGTACGGTGTATGGTTGTTTGCCTACTGAAGTTAGCGTACTGTTGAAAAGGGGAAGAATCTCCGAAGAAATGACACCGGTACGATACCGCGTGTCAAAGAAGTATTCAGTATAAAACATGAGAAGCAGTAAAGTCGCTAACAGAAGGGAGAGAAACATAAAACACGTGAATGCAATCTCAATTCCGAGAGCCTGACAAAGTGCCAGCGCGCCAAGAATCCATGCTAGTCCCGCCACGAAAAAGATAGGGTAGTTTTTCGAATGATTCCATTCCTACACTTAGTGGCTTATGTCGATGGCAACCTACAGGAATGCGACTGAGGTACCCTAACATAATATGCTGCAGCAGCAATGCTAAATGAGTTTCGACAGATACTAACTGGTTGTCGGCTGTCATAACAACTCGGAAGATGAACGAGGGAATCGTAATTTGCCGCGCGGCCACGCAAGAGCGGTGCTGGCGATAAGCGCGGGAATTTTGATGTGGGCGGCAGTCGCCAATGGGCGCGGGGAATCCGAACTGTGCGTCAGTTTCTTCACTGGAGCAGCGAAACTTGTATAAATCCCCCCGCCCTTGGAGATTTTTTATATTTCTTTCCGAATTTCTAAGGGGTAGGCAGGAGAACTCGTGTCTTGCTGCGCGGCGTCGCCACACCTGCTAGCGCGGCAAACTACGTTTCTCTTGCCATTAATCTGTACTACTCATAATCATTACTCTTTTGCAGCACATGAACTGACCACGCGTAGCTTTCCAGACTCTGACGTAGTACCCTCCGCACTGATGCGGTGTGAAACAATTCAAACCATTCATGTCCAGGCCATTATGAGGCTGCGGATAGGATTCTGTGAAAGTCTTTCCGGTCGAATACAGGCCAGCGAAAACACACACAAAACAGCAAAACTCAGTGAGTTACATATATAACCAGTCGCGATCATCGACGTGCCGCCGGCCGCTCCTCTTCTGTTTCACGGCCCGGCTTCGCCGGACCGACCTGGCTTCGTCCAGGGACACCTTCCCTTGGGCGAGGTAGAATGCGCTGAATGTGCCAAACGGTGGCAGTTATTTTTTTTACTACAATGTAGGGAAGAGAGTTGCAAAAAGCCCACATCAGTGACTATCTACCAACACCTGGTCCCTCTTGCTTACTACAGACTTTCAAGCGTGGGGGTGCACTATATCAACAAGGACCGCAGCATCACATCTGGTAAACTTGAATTATTCGAGATGAGTCCTTAGCAGCAGGAAGAGGCATAACTGCAGAATCATGGGTGGCACTGAAAATGAGAACTTCACATTGATTGTACATGTCAAAAGTAGATAGAGTCTCGCACGGGTCCACGCCAGTGACGTTTTCTCATTTGTGAGCCTCCTTTGCTATTTGCTTCAATTGCGCACACCAACCCCTGACACATTACAAAGCGGGCCAATTGCGAGAGACTTTTTGATGCTGACTTTTTCGATATTCCGATTCAGCCGCCACTAATATATCACCCACTGAGGCCTCTAATACTCGGCATTATAGCGGTAAGAAGTGATCAAAATGTAGCGCAGATGGTATCTTATCGGTTTTTATCGATTGATAAGATTACCTGTCACCCGTCATCAATGTCCTCATCACTAAATCTCTATGATGTTGGCTAGCGTGAACCACTTTGAAGACGACGACTGCAACTTCCTTTATCAGCCTCTATCAGTAGTTATCGCTCCCAGTCACCCACCGTTGATATTCCAATTTCACAAGTTCCGGTCGACACCAGCATGGTGCAGCGCATTCCAAATATAGTTCAGTTCCACACTGTCGAATGCTTTCGTATAGTCAATGGAAGCAGAATAGGAGCGGTGCTAGTATCCCTTGGTTCGCTCGATCAAACTTGCGTGACGGTATGGATGTGCAGTCATTCAACAGAAGCCCTTGCCGAAACCCGGTCTGTTTCCACTGGTTGATATTCATCAGTTGTTTTCTCGAAATCTCAACTTATGACCGAGTGTACCTATGAATATTCAACCGGGAACATTGACCGGGTTTCGCCAAGTGCTTCTGTTGAATGGCCACATCATACCTCACGCAGTTTTTTGACTCGAGGCAACAAGGATAGCTTAGGCAACCCCCTATTCTTGCTCCATGACTATACGGGAAAGCATTCAAGAACTATTCGAATCCGCCAACCACCCACCAACGTCAAAAAAACTAAAAAAACCCACTAATACCTATTGTTTTGGCCGATTTATATTGCTCGAAAATCGTTGAAGATCATCTTCAGTGAACAACTTATATGTCTGCGAGAAGAGGGCAATGGGCGCTAGTTTTCATTAGGTCGCGCTCGCCCTTCTTGAACAGAAGAACCGTGCTTGACGTCTTCCACTGGTCCGGGATCTCTTGCGCGTCCATGTACCTGTTATAGCGCCTGGTGAGCTGTTTTATGACGGTGCGGGACGCCGACTTCAGAAAGTCTACTGAGATGCGGTCAGGTCCTGGTGCCTTCCCCGGCTTCATTTGACGCAAGGCGTGTTCCACCTCCCACTCTTCTATCTGTGGGGCTGCGTTCCTGCGTAGGTGTAGGTATGCGCGGAACTGGCATCGTTGATCGGTAGAGATCCGTGTAGAAATTGACGACGATCTCTTCAATCTTCGCTCTCGATGTCTGCGGTCTGCCCATCGCGTCTCGCATAACTGAGCGAGAGTCGTTGATGTCTCGACGACATCGTTTGTGACTCGCTCTCGCTTTCGCCGCTTTCTTCAAGCGAGTATTCTTGTAGCGCTGAACTGACTCCTTCACTGCGACGCGGCACGCTTTGTTGACCACGGCGCGCTCCAACGGTGTTGATGCAGGGTTACGATGGACGACAGCGCGTTGCTGTAGAAGTGCGCGAGCCTTGTCGTCAATCCTGCCATTCGAATCCGTCCTTGTTGGGATAGCCGATGCCATAGCGCAATGTCAAAGTTCTTCTATGAGCATGGTATAGTCTTGCGACAAGCCTTGCGCCTCCTGCCACGTGTGGTGAGCGGCCGTCTCCATGGCGTTTGTGTCGTAATGTGGCAACCGTATGGGAGGGGGTCGGAAGAAGTCGCGTCTTCGGATTCTCGCTCGGAGACGAATTTTTGCTCTAACCAGCCTATGGTCGCTCCCAGTGCGGAATGCATCCACCACGCTGACGTCGAGCAGACTCCACTTCCTGTTAGTGAGAACGTGGTCGATTTCGCTGTGAGTCGTTGCATTCGGACTCTCCCACGTCCATCGCCGATCCTCTTTTTTCGTGAAGAAGCTGTTTCCGTGAAAGAGATGCATTGCTCTAAGAGGTCCATCAGACGTTCGCCGTTTTCGTTTGTTTCCCCGGTTCCGTAGGTTAGCCCAATCGCGGCTATCGCTGGCATTTCTTCATGGCATGAACTGCTGATTAAAGGTCTCCGACAACATATTTGTAGTAGGACCGTTCCCGCTTTATCATCTCCTCTAATTTCCTTGTAGAACGCGTCCTTTTCTTCGTCCGTAGCTGTTGACGTCGGTGCATAGCAGTTGATAATATTAGGTTGTCCCAAAAGTTCTGGAACACTTTCAATCTTTTTTTCGAATTAAGTTTATTTCAAAGGAAAGCAATTTAACGTTGATCAGCTATATATATGTCACCTTCATTGGCAACTTGTTGCCAATCACTACGCAATGTGTGGTTGCCCTGCTTCCAGAAGCCTCTTAGTTCTGTGGCCAGAAAGGCAGCTGGGTCATTTTCGAGGTACTATCAAAAATCGTATTTTTTTTACCAAGAAGATGGCCGCTGTGGGATTAGTTTAGATGGCGATCGGAAAGAGCTAAGTCAGGGCTACACGAAGACTGGTGGAATTCCCCAGCTAAGCTTTGGGATCTCGAGCAGTGTCGTTTTCCAAATGTTTGACCCTGAGCGTGCTGGGCTCGCGAGTTAGACAAAACCTGGTGCTCGGTTTTGGGACCAAATGGTAGAGATTTTCCACCCCACTTTGCAGTGATTACAATAGGGCTCCCTGGTTACCATAGCGTTGGAAGGAGGAATTCCGTTTCGAGAGCGGAGAAAGGTACCCCACCACATACAAAGCCTCACCTCCTACTGACTGATAGGATTGCGCGATCGGTTCTGCCCTTTCTGGGGATCTAGCCGCTGGCGCTCCCAGGAGTGATTCACTAGAGGCACCCACTCCGTAAGTTACAAGTGCTGTTGTCAACTAATGAGAAAAATTTTGACCAAACTTCAGAACTTTTCTAAGGAAGCGAGGCCTTCTCTCATTTGTGCTTTGGGACCAGTCAAGTGTAAGGACTAGATAGCAAGTTGATTTGTACGTATTGGTTTTAATCAAGGAACACAGTAGGTCCAAATCCAAGGCAGGTGGCCTCCTTGGACGAAGTTTTTCACCCGGATAGAAGTCACTAAAGCAAAGCAATTGAGCCATTCCAAAGCCGTACTGTGGAAGCTAACATTGAAGTCTGAATAGGAAATGCCGCTTATGGCTCCAACCACGTTGTGGCTTGGTAGCGATTCATATAGCGAAGTGTGTCGAAAATGATGAATTTCAATTACCGTTTTTCATATGAGAACAGCGACTGCGAGGGACGGTGAAGAAGCTGTGGAATGCTTACCTCACACACTTCCCATAGACCACATAACTGGATCTCGAAATGGCTTGCGGAAATCTGATGGCGAGATTCAAAAGTGTAGCCCCAGAACTTTTGGGACAACCTAATACTAACAAAAGTGCGCTTGTCGATGCGTAGACGCAAGACAGCTAGTCGCGGCCGATCACTTTGGCTGTATCGATTCATGCTGCTCGCAGCCACGATGGTGGACGAGATCCACGCCACCGACATTCTTCCGCTTAGCTTGGCTCGGAGAACGATTAGGTGGCCATAGTTGGTCTCCCTGGTAGCTGTTTCTTTTGCTTTTGTTTTCTGGAGAGCGATGACATCTCGAAACGAAGTCTTTCACCAGCCTCCATTAATATGGTTTGGTCGGCTATCGAGGCAATGATACGACAGCTGTAGGTGCAGACTCGTAGACAGTCCCCATGCTTCGAGAGCTTTCCGTCCTGTGCACTCCAAATCCTGCGGCGGTTCTTGCCTGCAGGTCCCTTCAGGTCGCCGTTTGCTCCAGTGCACGTAGAGCTCGTGCTTCCTTCTGCGCCGCTCCGGACCCTCTGTGTGCGTGTTGTAGCTTGTTTGTTTACCAATCCTCGGGTAGCTAACCCTTTGAAGTGGTTTCTACCCCCATGGTTGGCCGGGATATCCCGTTTCGCCCCTCCACCAATTCGAAGCCAGTGGTAGGATTTGGAGGGGCATGACATGATTTAGCACTGATTATATCACTCTGTCCCAGAATTTTTGGAATACACGTTCAATGCTAGACAAATTCTGTAGCAAATTAGATTTGAGAACAAACGCTGCCGTAAACTTTGCTTCTGATCAGCTACGCAACTGACTTGTTAGTCGCACTTGTGTCTGCTGCTTCACACTTCCTACATGCTCCACGGTAGCTTTCTTTCTCAAGAGCACTGACCCGGATCCCTAAACTGTAACCTGCACGAACGATACACTAAGCGGCAGCGTAGATCTTGTTCACTGCCATCGTATTAGGCGGGTATTCTTTACGTATCTGCGCCTGTTCCCTTCCGAAATTATGGCTACCTACTCCCCAACTCTGCTCACTTCGACGGGATCCTCTCGCAGAGTTTTAAGGGCAGGGGCAATGCAGGCACGTGTGCTCCACGAGTAATACTTTCCGTCAGGGACAAAAAGGAACTGCGGTTATCCCTCGTCTTCTCAACTGCGACTCATCAGAACGTTCCTCTTTTGGCCTCCCTCTAGAACGAATTCTGAATGCAGCTCGTTAAACTGAATGAGAGCGTTAAGGTGGCTAGGTAGCAGACTTGAATGTGATCCTGAGTATGCCTTAGAATTGAGTTACTGTATTGCACTGTTTTTCACCTGCGTATAAAAATGCAATTTCTCTGCAAGAGATGAGCTGAGATTAGTTTGACCCGTCATCTGTTGAATTCCATCACTTTCGCCAGTGATACCAGAGGGCAAATCGCATGGTTCTTGAACGTCATCTCGGTACATCTGCTTATACATCGCCTCGATGCACCTGCTTGAGCATGCACGTTACCACCTACTAATACCGATGCTCTTTGAGAAATGCAAGTGCTCCACGTTACGGTAATAGTGTTTGTGTCATGGTCTTCCCTCGACGGAGAAGCCCTACCCACGAACGCAGCAATGGTTCTGCAATGGGAGCCGTAATCGAGCTTAACTCATCTCATTGTCAGAGCGAGATAAGCATGCAAGAACTCTCTCTCTCTCCCTTTCTCTCTCTCAATAAGCCTACGATGCTGCCTGAGAATTCTCTCAGATCTTGTTTGTATTCCCACGTGATCGGGTAGCCACCACGCTGGACAAAGAAGCCTTACGTCCGAAAATTTGGGCGAAGATCCGGAACAAACCGTCTCATGTTGAACGGGAGCTCCAGTCTACAGAATAGCCCTAATAACTAGGACGAGCGCCCATGTCCCGGAAGCTTCTCAATTCCACTTCTCCTCTACAACTACGGGGACTGAGTCGTGGAGGTGTCGTCAATACAGGATTTTTTCGGAATTCTCCAAGGCAGACTTGGCTAAAAAATGTCCTTCTCGGTAGTTTGACCCTCCTGAACACGAATATTACACCTACATAACCCGCAACCCCCTAGCACCCGCGCCACAGGCGCAGCGCCAAGATACGTTGCACCATTTCCTGAAAACTTGTTCCCAATGTTAGTTTGACCTCCTGAACACAAACATTACATACACTTTACATCACCGCAATTGTCGGGTCGCAATCAGCGGCTCGCACCTGCGGCGTTTCCATCATTGGTTGCTCCCTCCCTAAATCGATCTTTACCCGATCGCCATTGGTAGAGCGAGGCCGAACGCCCATTTGGACCGCGTTGCACAGCCGCCCTCCGACAGT